TCAGCAAACTCCATAACCTTGGTCCCCCTTTAATCCGTCTTTCTGATCAAATGTACTCAGTCAGTTAAGCTGGACAACCACATCTCTTCCACCCTGACTCTGAACCCAGGAGTCCCACAGGGCTTTGTCCTCAGTCCACTCTACCCCTGCTCTAGATATGACTGCAAAGCTCTGAAGCTCACAAACTCCATTATCCCGTTTGCAGATGACACAATGGTGGTAGGACTGATCACTGACAACAAGTCAGGCAGCAGGGAGGAGGTGGATTGATGGCAAGCTGGCGCAAAGAGAACCACCTGGACCTGAACATTCGAAGACCAAAGATTTGACTGAGGACTGCAAAAGACAATGGTACTTTCACACACACACACACACACACACACACACACACACACACACATATTTATTTATATATATATCCATATATGGATGATAAATATATAACCATTTAGTTATTAAGCAAACATACTGTGGTAGGAATAATAATATTTCCCTCTAAACTGGAGCAGCATTGAATATAAATAATCAAGCCCGACTACATCCAAATTTTACATACGCAAAGTACTTGAGTAGATTGACTTGGTTAAATTCCACCACAGGAATTTACAACAAGAGATTACAATATCAGACACTCCCTCCAGATATGTTTTTAAATGTAGTGAAAAAATAGTGGTGCTGCACATATTTCTGCTCATATTCAGTCTTCATTCTGTGAACTCATCCTTTGTGTTTCTTTGTTGGCTACAGTATACAGGCGCAGCCAGAAGCCTCTATGTGAGTGGTTGATGGAGGTGTAATGACAACGACAATTATAGCAATTATGTGTTATTGTAGGCCATTATGTATTTTGTAGGTTTTGAGATGTAGGCTTTCTTTGTAATTGCTGGCTTATGAAAGGCATAATAATCATGGGGCAGCCAGTTGCAGGAGCTACCAAGGGCAACCAGTACCTGGTGCCATGGTAACAAAACATTTATCCATAATGCTGCTGTGCGGATGGCGAGGACAAGAGCACTGGCAGCAGGCAAATTAGCCCTAATGGCAGGGAGTGGAGGACGAGAAGGTGCTGGACAGCAGACAGAGGGAGAGCTGGTGGGTGCTGCAGATATGGGGGTGGGTGGGCCTGTGATTAGGAGGTGGGCAGAATGAGTGTGACTTTATGAGGGAGTACGTATGAGGATAATCTTTCTGACAGTGTGTTTGTGACCAGTGTGCAGTGAAGGCCTGTGTGTGTTATATGATGCTATGCACAATGACGGGTAATTTTCATGCAATGGCTTAACTTTTTTCTAAAAGGAAACTAAAACATTATATTAGACTTTTTTTTTTTTTTCATTTTACAGTGTACACATGCTTCAATCTGTCTTAAATATGTGTTTTGTGCACATCAATGGTTGCAATGCAAAAATTTGGGCAACATTTCAACATGTCAAGAGGACTTTTGAGATTATTGTCTGAAACTTTATTTTTTTTTACATTTATTTTTGGTCTCAGACCTCAAAACATCTTCATTTTTACTACTGCTTTCTTTCTACCGTTGTAGTTAATATTGATAGTTACAAAATATATATATATATACACATTGTTCAAATGATATATTTTTTTTGTACATTTTTTGAGTCAGTACCTTTCTTAGTATTTCAACAATAGGACAAGAACAAATGGAAATGGCATAATGTGATAGTTACGATGATTTTCAATCCAGGTAATACTAACTCCTATTTATCAAAAACTGACATAAAATAAACATTTTGACTGAAATCAAGTCATGGTCATCCTCAGTGCAAGTTTGCAGTAGCCATAAACACACAGTATGTTGATAGTGACAAGTGACTGTTTTTGATTCAAGGACAGATTGAAATAGTGAGATTGGGCTTTTAACATTTTTTAAATGCTTTTAGAGCACTGTTACACTCCTCCCATCAATAACAGTCACCACATCCACCATCTCAAGACAGATTAAGAAAAAATAATAAATAAATCGTGAAAAATGTGTTGTCAGACAAGTGTAGTTACTACCGACTAGGGATACACAAAACTAACTAAACTCATGGTTTGGGTTATATTGTGGTTTTTGATTCATAGGTCAATTTTGTTTTTTTAAATTTTAAACAAACATAAAACAAACAAACAAAAAATGGAGACAAATCCTGCCACTGTCACTCTTACTGTCTACTGCTTTCAAAGTTAATCTAGTGTTCATGTGAAAAAACAACTGCCTTGAATCTTGTCATTAGATCTGTGGAAGCATTAAATAAATTAAGCTATTCTTCGCCAAGGTGGAGATATGTTCTCTGTGCCGTTTGTTTGTCTGAAAGCAGGATCACACAAAAACTACCAAGCTGAGTTTCATGAAAGCCGGTGGCGAGGTGGTGCATTGGCAACTACATATGGGTGCATATCTGGATTAGTTTCTGTAAAATTGTGAAGTGTGGCATTGGCAAAAGACCGGACTCTCTGGGTGCTTCTTCTGTAATTTTAAAAATTAACGGCAGCAGTAAAACTGTATTTCACAATATGATGGTTAAACTTTACATCTAACTTGCAGTTCACAGCATGCTGAACCACGGTCAAGGATCTGCTGATGACAAAAAAAAAAAGCACTTTATGCAGCTGTTATAATTGATCATTTAAGTCTTTTGAGGAGTCAATATACATTCTCTGTTCATTTTAACTAAATTATGAAATGAGTTTCATTCTAAAGGTGCAAACAGTGCGCACACCTCCACTATGGTACATACTGTATATAGTGCTCAGAAATGGGGGACCAGTACAGGTGAAGAAGAAGGCTGTCATTAAAATTTTTTTTAAGTAAGTCACTACAATGCTACATTATTTGATGACAATGGCAAAAATAGGACAAATATATATGTGACATAAGGCTGTGGTGTTGTTTTCACATCCCTGTGTTGCTTAATTTACAGATTGCTGAGTACGTAACTCTACACTGAAGTGATGGTGATTTTAGGTGGAGCTATGTTGGATATTAATGAAGTGTGTGTGTGTGTGTGTGTGTGTGTGTGTGTGAGTGTATACCAGCCTGCAGCCAAATGTGTTTGTGTCCTGTATTTGTTATGTGACACTACCTTTATCCTTGATCCAGTGTTTCATGATGGGAAAAAGGTCTCAAGCCTAATGTACACGCTTGGTTGTGCATGTTTATAATTATACGTGGGTGTGTGTGTGTGTGTGTGTGTGTGTCCATAAGTGTGTTGAAGGGGTGGGTGGTACAGGGAACTGCAAGCAGGCCCAGCATGGCACAGAGCAGGAAGTAGGCCAGAGGGGGATTAAATGGCTACTGCGCCACTTCCTCCCTCTCCCTGCAGCCATATGATGCTGTGTGTGTGTGTGTGTGTGTGTGTGTGTGTGTGTGTGTGTGTGTGTGTGTATGTGTGTGTGTGCCTGAAGAGAAAGCCAAGCCCCTGCTGTCAGTCCACACTTGACTGGGTCCAGTTAAGTGCTAAGACATGACATCATCAGCTTGAGGGAACATTATATTGGTGTGTGTTTGTGTGCATGGGTTAACACAATGGGCCAACTCTCACATCCGAGAACTTACCATTAGGAGCGCAATTGTTATCGTCTGCTGTTCTGCTGCAGTTCCACTGAGTTTCAATTTCAGCTTCAATTTGTTTAATGTATATAGTGCAGAGTCACATCACAAGTCATCTCAAGGTACTTCACAAAGTCATTTCTGTCTGTTCTGAAAACTTTTACAGGAATTTTGATGTTTACAGATCAGAGTGTAACTGAGGAAAAACCATCATAAAGTATGTTAGTAAGGTGTGAAGAACAGCTTCAATGCTCCTTGGCATTCACTCTCCAAGTCTGTGGAGGGATTCTTCCAAAGCAAGTTTCCTCACTTTGTGCTTTGGTGATGATCAGTGAGATCTCTTTCTAACCTGTCAGTCCAGAATCTCCCATGGGTGCTCAACTGGTATGATATCTGCTGACTGTAAATGCCACAGCATGGGATTTGCATCATTTTTATCAAACCTCCTCATGGCCTATGGATGGAGGTGTGGTCATTTTTCATGCTCATGAAACCATAGATGGATGGAGAGACTGTCGCCCGCTCTAATCAGGATAGATTATTTCATCACAGGATAAAGATGATCACCCAGAACAACTCCGTATTGATTTGCAGTGACCACCACAGTATAACAGAGCCACCAGATCCCTGAACTGTAGGGGTCAAAGATTTAGGATTTCAGTTGTATGATCAATATGAGCATACAACCTACAGCTGATTTGGAGTTTTAATGACCTTTCGCTTTTATTGACTCCTTTATAGTACAATACATTAAGCCTCGAAACCCCAAGCACTGTCTCAGCATTTTTCTTTTTGTTTATTTTGTAATTCGTAGTTCTTGCATGTCTCTTGTTGTTTTCCTTCCTTCCTTTGTCCATTTCCCTCCTTTGTTTATTGCCTTGATCTGTTTCACCTGTGTTTCATTGGTCACCTGTGTCTTGTCTCCCAGTTTAATTCTCTGTGTATAAATAGTTTTATTTTTCCCGTGTCTTATGCCAGTTTTTCTCTGTTTAGTCGCCTGGTTGCTCCTGTTAGTTTCCCTCCTGTTTGCCTTCCTCATGGTCTCCTGCTGGTTTCTCTTTGTCAGTATTTGATTTTTTAATTCAATTCTATTGTTTCCCATGCCTTCATTTGCGATTTTTCAGCATCTGCATTTTAGTTCTTTTGCATTTCTTGGGGTTACGTTTGTGTGTGTGTTTTTGTTCCTCTGCCTGCAAAATGAAGTCCTGTACCTTTCTGGAAACAGCCCAGCCATGGCTAGAAGTACAGAGATACTAAATATATGCAAAAATCTCTAAAGGGAATGAAAAAGTTTATTTTAAATGTAGCTGGAAAGGTATTACCTCATATCTGACTTAAAATTCTAAGCTAAACTGAATATAAATACATGAGCAGTTAAGGAGGCAACCATTGTTCCAGCACCACACAGCCCTCTAACAAACTGAAGACAATGAGTACGGTACTGTACCTCCTTCAGACAGCCCATGAAGTTATTGCTGACTGGAGATCCAGGCAGGTCAGCTGTGCTGGGACTTCCACCCACATAGAAGAAGTCATCAGAGCCCAACATGGTGTAGTCTTCCTGGGTGTAACCCGTAGTGGTCAGAATCCCATCCACAGATATTGTCACCTGGCAAAGAGGAGGAAAAAGTGAGAGTGGGAAAAAAAAATGCTTTTCTCAGATTTAAAGGACAGAAGATGTACGACTACAGTGCTGTTTAGACCTCACTTATGTCTGTGTGATTTATATATCTCAGACCTGGTAGTGTGTTTCTCTGTGCTATGGATCAGACAGGACAGAAATAAAGAAAATTTGCCAGCTCATAATTTTCTTTATTTTTCAGTTAATATATGCTTTCTTTGGGACTTGAAATGATTGATAAGTATGAAGGGTTAGTAAAATGTCAAAATAAAGATGCTAACTGGGTAAGTTTAGCTCCAGACACCGACAAACATGTAACAATATCCATCTTCATGAACCAATCGTCATGTACCAACCGTGTATTTTGGATTTCTGTTGTATCTACATAAGTGAGCGAGGACAGAAACTGATAAAACAAAACTTTGTAACATGAAGAAGCCGACAAAAACACACACACACAAACCAACGGAAAGGAACAAGGAGTTAGTAGCACGCACACAAAATCAAATGCAAACATGCAGGACACAGAATGGCAGAGCGCAGACCCACACTGCAGGACATCTGTCTGGGAAAAATCTACGTGTATGTAGAAAAAAATGTACTGTTGGGGAATGATTTTATCAGAACTACAAGTGTTACAGACACAGGCAAAAATAACTAATTATATTTATTCAAACCTTGTTCATAGACACAACGTTGTACTTCAGTGATGTTAATATTTCATGGTATGTTTCTTTGTAGTTCTAGTTTCTCATTTGTTTGTGGGAGATTAGGCACTGCTGTGTGTCAGCAGAGGCCAAGATAAGGACAAACAAATTGGAGAGTAGTTGAAGCTAAAGGTGGAGCATTCTCCTGCTACTTAGCTTATCTAAAAATAAAACATTGCTGGGGTATGTGGTGTCTTCAATCATGCATCTACAGCCAAAATCAGACGAGGCCTTTCCACACTTTTATTTCCATCATTATCATTTCACTAATTTGTTGCAGTCATCTCAAACCTTCACTTCTGCTTCCAAAGGTAAATGTTTGTTGCCAATAGGGTTCAACCGATTATCGACTTGGTTGATTACCAGATCCAACACTCAGCATGCTATTTTTTAACCCATTCTCGATAAAATTAATTAATTTTGAAATATATATGCTTCCTCGGCTGAGAGGCAGTCGTCTCTCTCTGTACTTTTGTGCTGGATTTAGTGTTATTCCAAATTTTCACATTAGTATTTCATGTATATTCCAAATGTTTACCAGTTCCTAATATCAGCTATCAGTCCCCATAATTGGCAATGATCAACAGTGATACTGGCCCTGGAAAAACAGTCAACCCCTAGTTTCTATAGCTTTGTGGACCTCCCTCAGCAGATCAATGTATTATTACCATTCAGCCAAAATGCTAGTTGAGTTATCCAGTTTTCTCCTGCAATGTGAGGTGTCTCATACTTTCACACACAGCAGCATGAATGAAGATGAAAGTCTAGTGTAAGATCATGCGAACAGTGTACATGGCACAATTGTTCCAGAGTTCCAGCGTGGATTTCTTTTTTTGGTCGTCGTATTCTTCTGGCAGTTTCCACAATATTATCACCAAAAACATTTAACAAGAAACCCCAAAGTGAAGCAGATTTAGCTAAAACCCTCGAGGAGGAAAAGATGTGGGTGACTAAAAAGGAAGAAAACTACAAAGGAAAAACGAAAAAGCACTGAGAGTGGATGATCTGGTGGAGGATAGAGAGACAGGAACGGTAAAGCAAACTAAACGCTGGGAAATTTAAAGCCCATTTCCTTTCAGTGGGGGTAGAATGGCATCTTAATGTACAGAAGTCAAAAAAAGAGGAAGAGGAGAAGTACACAGCAAACCAAAATATGAACAATGAAAATGATATCTACCATACAGTGGAGTTTGTTTACCATAGCGAGTCCGATGCCTGTTTGCTTTGCAGAAAGGTGGGGTGGGTAAGACATGGATTTATATGAGTGAACAGTGGGTTTGTTAGTACTATAAAGCAAATCAAATGAACATTAAATGATGAAGGGTGAGGGAGACAACATACGTGTTAGTAAAAGAAAAACAAAAGAGACTCCTTTCATTAAGTCACAAAGAGTTGTGGCCGACTTGATAGCGGTATATATGTTCACATGTGGACATGGAGGCAAGGCTGAAATGAGCAGAAATCAGAGCAGACCTGGTTTTATTTTCACAAAGCATCAAAAGCTGAAGATTATTGATGGTCGTCTTATTGAGGATGCTACAAGTCAAATTTAGAGCAAACTAGTTCTCTGCTGTTGTAGACCAGTTAAGTCGATCTGAGCAATCAAGGTGTATTTAATGATTTAATGGACAATCAGATTAAATGAATACTGAATAAAATACTGACTTTCCTTTACTGTACTGTACACTCTACAAGTTCAGTATAACATTTTTTACTTATCTGTAATTCTTACTCTCTTTATAATTCAGGAAGCAGCTTCTCAATTCAGCGAGTAAGCTACAGCTATTAGTCAACACTGCACATCCTCTGCAGCATTGTACAATGCCCTTCAAAAGTCTGCTAGAAGTGGAATGAATTTTGATGGTTTTGCTACTTTAGACTTTTGATTTGAACGTGTATCTTTGTCAATAGGTCACAGACTTGATGCAGTCTTTTCATGAAAGGCCTATGCAACCAAATACATAATCTGTATCACTTCTAGTTTCTTTGGCATTCAGCTGTTGGATTTCTTTTGCTACCAAAGAAATGTGACTTGATCGTAAAGTGTCCCTTTGTATAAAATTACAATATACTTGTGCATATAAATAGTGTGAAATAGAAGTCAAAAGCCAGCATCTACTTTTGTGTTATTGAATTTTTTTTATTTTTTATTTTTTAAATTTCAAATTCAAATCCCTAAAGTGAAAAAAAAAACAAAACATCAAATTCCCCTTAGGAGCATGATTTTGGAAGGCATGGTACACATCTAATTTCTTGATGTTTCCTGGACTTCTTTAGCAAAAAAATACGCTTGGAGGTTATAGAATTTATTGAAATTATTAACATCAGCCTTGGTCTTTAAAGGTATAATACTTTATTTACTTAATCAAAAACCAGATCATTAATTTTGCAGACTGAACTCTTGACTCCACATGGTTCTATTCAGAGAGGGTTGGACTTAAAGGTAGTCTCTATTTAACACGCAGGTTAGTGTGAAAGTGTGCAGGTGAGATCAGCACAGGTCTGAGATGCCAGATCGCTTCATACAACGTCTGTCTACAGACAGATAAGAAGGGAGGAAGAGAAATGAAATCATGAAATGTAACAGCAGTGTCTTGATTGATGGAGAAAGTGCTAAGATAACACACAGACCTGCAAACCGGTGCTCCTTCAGTTAAAAAAAATATTTAATTAAACATCATTTTACTAAATCAGAACACAAAAAAATATTTAATTAAACATCATTTTACTAAATCAGAACACAAAAAAATATTTCATTATCTTAAATCTGCTTAACCGCTTCCACCCTGGAGATACTTGTACTCAAAACGCTGCCTTGTGTTATTAAGACTAAACTGGATGTAACAATTTATTCTGCTTCATTTCTGTGTTATCAAACTTGTTAGATCATATTCGAACAGGTTTACTTAGTGTCACTGTCTCATTGTTTAAAGGCTGTTATTTACTCTCTAATGTATCATGTCGATTAGGCGGAAATAAAAATATAAGTTTTTCAACTGTCATCTTGGCCTGGTGATGGAGACACAGAGGGTTATTGTATTTCAAGCTGCTCTGATCCTTAGAACCCAAGGTTGTTCATTGAGGTCTTACAGTTTTGTAAATTGAGACAGAGACCTGCCCACCTAAAGATCCCATAAGAATAGGTCAGAGGAGTTTACTGATGTGAACTCCAAATGGACGAACTTCACACATGTTGATTTTGTGGCAGATTGATCTGTTTGTGATGCCTTACATGTACAACCCTATAACAGAAGCATTTTCACCATGAATGCCTGTGGATACACCATAAAACTGGCTGACAAGGTGAATTCCAGTCTCAGTAGGACAGAAGAGGAATATTTCAGTATAAAAACAAAATGGTTGGTGGAGGATGACAGAACGCCTCTCTATAAATGTATGAAACACTGGTATCCTCTATGCTGAGGAGGATTTATCAATGAAAACTAAAGGTAGACATACAAGGTATTGAAGTAATAAAAGCTTTTTATCTAAGCAGTAAAGGTGTACTGACTTTTGCTGTACTGAGATCTTGCTCTTAGTTTTTAATTTTCCATAAAGGCAAACACCTCATTGTTCAGTGTAGAAGTGATGCAGTTACTGTAAGACAATACAATGCTAAATCATGACATTTAAGACATTTAGGGATTTGCACGCTGTATTGTGTATACCAGTATATATTCAGACTCTACGTGATGGAAGTCCTCCCATTGTTGGATTAAGTAAATCTATGTAGCTTGTCTTGAGCCTCAACAGGTTTGTGCCACTGACCAAACCATATTTATGTTGTTGCTACAGTCCTTTGGAAGAGTCCAAAATGAAGCAACAAAGGTCAAATGTTTGACCCTGCTAGTGTGTGCAGACTTATCCATAAAAAGTCTGCAGTCAGTAGTAAGACAAATGTATCTGGATAGCAACAGGGGGAGCTTGTTTGCCGGCAGTTAGCAGGCTAGCTCACAGTTTGCAAACCAGCACCGTTAGCCACTGTGGCTGTCCAACAGCATGCTAACAGATACCTGCCATGTTACAATCCATCTGCTATAGATTATCATTGATAGCATTCTTTTAAGTTAAGTAAAACTGCTGCAACTGACTTCTACGTTTACTTTTTCGTCGACAACACCACCTCTTTGCCTTACCTGCCGAAGGTTGCGGGTCACTTTGACATCGTGCCACGAGTTGTCGTTGAACTTCCCATTGACTGGCTCCACAATGGCTTCAAAGGCCCCAGATCCCAGGTTGATGACCAGGGAGACAGCTCCGTCCTTCAGTGCCAGGTTGACGTAGTCAGCTGACTTGCCGGTGTGAAGGATAAGGCCGTTGCGCTGCCACGTCTTGAAGGAGAGCGTAATCTCGTCGCTGCTGCTCTGGATGGGGTTCTGGGAGAGATCGTAGCAGAAGTACTCTGAGCCTCGGAAAGTGGCCACATTCTCTTCTCTTGCTGCGGTGAGAAGAAAAAATAGGTGTAAGGAACCATACATGTCACTCAGACAGCATAGATAGTGTTTAGCATAGACAGGCAAGGATAAAAAATGAACAGTGCCAATAAATGCAACAGTCATTAGACAACTACAAGTCAGTTGCTATGAAAAAGAACATATTTGTAATTCGTATCACAAAACATTCAAAGTCCTTTCAATCCATAGGCTTAATCATTAAATATTTCATATGCATAGACATTGTCATCATTTCTTAACTTTACTGAGTCAAAATTATTTTAGATTTTAAGTAGGTTGAAGTAGGTTTACACTATATTTTGTAATAGTGCTATAATATAGAAAAAAAATCTAACATTAAATCTACTGGTTCAACATTAAAAGGAAAAGGGACATCAGGTACTTCCATCCATTATCTATACATCACTTAATCCTCACTAGGACAGGTCACCAGTCTATCACAGGGCTCCATTTAGAGACAGACAACCAAGCACACTCACATTCACACCTTCTTGCTGCGATGCAACAGCGCTACCAACTGTGCCACCTTGCAGCCCACATCAGGTTCTTGAGGTAAATAAATCCATTTATGCTTTCTTTAATTATATTCTTTTAGCAAAGTAAAAATAGGTAACAATCAAGAAATAATCGCTGTCTATATTTTGTTTAGAAAAAACGAACCTTGCAAAATATTCACCATGTGACACAGAGGAATGCAGCTGAGACCACAAAGAGCTATCATGTAACAACATCAAAGGTCTAATCTTGCCAGTGAAATTGCCATTTCCTGTCAAACAGATGGCTTGTCGTGGTTATGCTTGTGATCAGACAGAGAGAACCAAAGATGGCAAGTAAGCTGCAGAGAATCTGACCGTATTTATGACCTTGGCAGAAGGCGAAGGGTAATATAGGAGAAACAAAACAGAAAACTGCAGAAAGGAACAGAGGAAAGGGCAAAGGAAAGCAGCGGGATAACACAGAAAAATGGTCCAGTCAGGAGTCGTTATCTGTGAGATCATCTTCAATTAACTCACTGTCTCTTCAGCAAAATACTACATTCTGGGCTCATCCTGCACGCAGAACAATCTACCAGCCACCAAAACACTACAAGGATCTGCATGAGTGCCGTTTTAATGTGTTTCATGGGGGTGTTGTGGAGAAATAAAATGGCCACTGCTTTCAGCTCCTTAACACAGATACCTCAGGCATCTGTTTCTTAAAGACGACTTCATCCCACACAACACAGACCCCTCTCAACTCCACATGTGATAGGGGGGAGTGTAGGCTTTAGTGTGTTGTTCTGTAGCCTTTAGAAGCAAAATATGAAAATGAATTGATCATTATCTTTGCAAGACCCAATTAGAGTCAAGCTCACATGCTTTTACTTTCCCTTACTCACTTGCAGGAGCAAGGAGCAAGCATACCTCAGTAATCATTTGGGCCAAAGAGACCAGTGCACTCTTAAAAGTACAACCTCCAAAAGGGTTCTTTCTTGCCCTCCATCTGCTATCCTGCTATCCCCTACCACCCCATCCCCACTATCACACCAACCAGTCAAGGCAGATGGCCACCTTCCCTGAGCCTGGTTCTGTCAGAGGTTGTTTTAGTTTTTTTCTTTCCTCCCTATTAGGAGGATTTTTTTGGTTCCTTCTCACTGTTGCTGACCACTTGCTCAGAGGGAGTCCAAAGTCAACTTCAGATTGTTGGGTTCTCTGTTCAAAATTTGTAAGGTCTTTACTTTACTATGTTAAGCGCTGACAGATGAAATATGTTGTGAATTGCGCTGTATAAATAAAACTGGATTGAACTGAATTCCTGGAAGGACTGAAAGTTCACCCACAACCATTTGCTTCTTAAGAATCCTTTTTTGAAGAATGGTGCTTTAGGGATTCTTTGTAAGCCTGATGGTTCCACTAAGAACCATTTTCATTCCTTTTTGGAAGAAAGATTGTTGAAAGCATGGGTGTTAAGATATCGCCCTCAAATATTCCAAAGTCTAGCCATATTCCAAATGGTTTACTTAAATTTAGATGGATCTGGAATCCCCTTTATATATTAATTGTAATTGTGTTCTTCAATAACTAATATATAAACCATCATTTCATGACATACAACACGTAGTTGTGTACTTGTATTGAACAGACACTGTGTTTCTTGGTTAGTTCGTCCAACCTGAGATATTTTGTGTGCTGGTACTACATGCTCTGTCTTGACCACAGAGGCAAGAGTTGAATTGAGGACCATTTCTCTGTTAAGGGATCTTATTTATTTTGAGAATTTCTAATAGATTATGTATCATAATTAACCACTACTTTATGAACAGTGGCAAAAAACAAATGCGTATATATAATGTACATGTGCTCTCTGGGGGGACGATTACGTCTTGATATTAAATCTTCATAAAAGGACTGTTGTATTCTGAACTACTCAGCGACCACATTCATTTTGTGTGGACCCCTATAACTACAATTTCTGGAGGTGGCCATGATTTGGTTTTTGTGGGTTCTGTATAAAATAGTTCCACCTGGGGTTCAATCCTGGAAACACACTAAAGCTTAGCAGAACCTTTAGAATTACAGACTGGGTTATATATGATTGTCAGCTCTGTATAGCTGAAATATCTAGTCAAATTAATATAAAACATTCTGCTCCAGTAAACCAGATGTGGATAAAGCTTAGTCCTAGATTTATTTTTTTCACTTAGCACATATAGGATTTGAAATTATACCCTGTTACATAGAAAGCATGCAGGCTTAGAAACATATGCCTTAACCCCTCCACAAATAACCCTAAACAACAGAGGGTGTTTCTAAGACTAGCAAACAGGTAATTACTACCTACCCTTTATTGTTCACTCTCCTTTACTCTGTTCACACACTGTGTGATAACCTGTCAGTGTATGTATTAACAATAGATGTTTAAAAATAAATAAATAAATAACAGAACAACTGAAATGTCAGAGAATCCAGTTAGGCTAAATCTAATATTTTATTTTAGCAAGCTTGAGATGGACAACTTTAATAGACTTTAATGGTAGAATGTTGGCTTTTGCAATTCTAGCATTTGTTTGTTGCTTTGTGGGGTTCCCTCACTTTCACCTGATTGTGTGCCAGTGGAGGCTCTTAGCATAGGAGGTGGAAGACAGGCTGTCACCACTTTTATGTGCCCATACTCCTACTGTGATCATTGGACTCTGCATTGTTTTGTTGTTTGTAGGTGGCTTATGATTCATCTGATGTAGTAAGTGGACCTTGGCATGATGCTGTCTTTTTTTGTCCTTCCTCTCTGCTATGCCGCCATTGTTGGCGATTACATGAATTCACCTGCTGAGTGCAGCCTGATGTGCATGGTTTGTGTCCTGTCTGTCATGTTGCTGATTACACTGGTCCTATGCTCACTTCTGACCTGTTCCCCCAGGATCCACGCAGTCGCTCATGTCCTGTTGGCTTATCCTCAGAGAGTCTCCCCTCTTTGTATTTTAAATGAAAACTGACAACTGTAACATAGATTGATAAAGTTATGAATGACCACTATATGCAATATATGAAATTCAATCATTGTTTGCCTCATGTGTAGAATGAAATATGATTCTATGCAGAACCCTCAGAAAACATGAATCCTTGGAATGTAAAAGGTTTCTCAGGAGAACCCCTGGGCAGGTAGTTACTCGTACTGTTACAAGGGGGAATGGGTCTGGTTAGAACCCCCAGAGAGTGTTCTTTGTGGACCATTACTCTATAAAAAGATTCTGTTTAGTACCTTTCATACCGCTCCACCAAGGCAGTGTGAGGGCTGGTTAGGGGCCAATGCCCGTCCAAAGACTTTGCATTTTATAGCCATTTAGCTGTTTAGCTCTCGACCAGGGAAACTGGTTCCAGAGAGACTCTGACACGTTGTCATGGCTAATATCCAGAATGAAACAACAAACATGCAAGAAGATGGCCACCTACTACACGAATACCCCAGGCAGCAAACTCAAGTACCTCAGGCAGCAGAAACCCGGTAGTGTACAGAAATATCTGCACCAAGTATGGGCGGGAAGTCTATCCATCAATTATCTATACACCTCCTTATCTTCTGTAGGGTCGTGGGGGCTGAAGCCTATCCCAGCTGACTTAGAGTGAAGACAGGGTACAACCTGGACAGGTCGCCAGTCCATTACACGGAGAGACAGACAACCAAGCACACTCAGATTCACACCTACGGACAATTTAGAATCACCAGTTAACCTCAGCATGTCTTTGGACTGTAGCAGGAAACTGGAGAACACAGAGATATCCAATGCACGCACTGGGAAAACATGCTAACCACCTCCGCACCATGCCGCCCTGGGCTGAAAGTCCCAGGATAAAAAAAAAAAAAAGGATGACACCTCCAAAGGTGGTAGAGAACGACCATGCCAAGATTCTGTGGGACTTCCAAGTCCAAAATAATACTAATAATACTAACAATACTAATGCTAATAATAACAATAATCATCATCATCATCATCATAGTAATTTGACCATAAGCTCTTCTACAGTATTTCCCGTTTCACATAATGAATAATAAACACATAATGAATGGGCAAACACACTTAGTAAGTTGTGTCTTCATGCTTGTGTAGATTGGCAGATCCAGACTGACCATTAAAAATGTAAAATGGAGTGGTGCAACAACACAGGATAGTCACATTTACTCTGAATTGTAAACCTCAGCCCCCTGCCTGCTTTTAACCTAATTGTATGGCATTTGCATGCCTTGGACTGTAGTGCACATGGCTGAGCAGCATGCTTAAAAAGGGACAGTACCGGTGGAAGAAAAAAAAAAAGAAAAGTGTGAGCTGAAAAAAATCCATTAAAAGGAAAAAAGCCTTAAAGGAAAGCGAGGCTAAGTGCTGCAGAATTACAGATGTGTTCACAAGCAAGAGATGTCATGTGTGTTCATGTTTAAAAGAAATGCTAATCGGGCAGCCCTTAGCACATCATTACCACCCTTTATGGGTTAACTCTACCCTATTAAAAGT